TGGGGAACCAGTACACAGCAGGTACTCCTAAAAGATTTGGGGTGAGGGGCGCCTGGGTGGCTCAGTCGGTTAAGCAGCTGACTTCGGCTCAGGTCATGATCTCGCGGTCCATGAGTTCGAGCCCCGCGTCAGGCTCTGTGCCGACAGCTCAGAGCCTGGAGCCTGTTTCAGATTCTGTGTCTCCCTCTCTCTGACCCTCCCCCGTTCATGCTCTGTCTCTGTCTCAAAAATAAATAAACGTTAAAAAAAATTAAAAAGAAAAAAAGATTTGGGGTGAAGGGGATGGTCAGGCCCTCGGTAAGAGTGGCATTAGAGGGGTGGCAAGAGGGTTTCTCACTTTATTTCTAGAATTCGGTGTCAGGAAGCAGAAGCTGGTGTGACCACCCACCCACCTTCAACCTGAGTGGTGACTCCACCCTTTGAGGATTTAATGCAGCAAAGATCCCCCCTGCCTCTTTGCACTGGAAGGAAGCAAGGCAAGCATTTCATCCCAATGGCTAAAGAGCAATGACTACCCTCTTCGACACCCTGGACAGAGGGCCATCTGCCAGCGATGGGGAATGTACAAGGCAGCCAGCCCATCCTAATTTTTAACAGAATTAATTGTTAGGATCTGCTGTATACTATGAAGCCACATCTGTCTCTCGTAAGTCCTGGCCTGGCCTTCAGGAGCCACAAGGACCCCCATTCTTCCTCCTTGCGGCGCCAAGGGTTCGACAATACCTGTGTGGCACCCTTCGGAGGCACCAAGACTTCTGCTCCCAAACTGATCACACCCCTCCAAAAGCGTTCCCAACGGTGCTCTTATGAATATTCCTGTCCATAAACCTTTGCATACCTGTCTTTGGATACATTTCTGCCAACCAAGCTGTTGGGCCAAATGGTACATTCTGTAGCTTTTGCTGTATATTTCCAGATCAGTTTCCAGCAAGGGTGCTTTTGTCTACACGCCCACAAGTGGTTTACGAGAGAGAACCTCTTTCCCCACACCCTAGCCACCAAATTGGGGAATTTTAATTCTTTTAATCACTGCCAATCTGATAAAAAGAAAATGATTATCTCATGGTTGCTTCAATTTGCATCTCTTTGATTATGGGTGAGGTTGGACATGTTTTCCAACCACATCCTATACTTCTGCAATCTAGTTTTGGAGCTAAATGCAGGCCCTTACAAGTATTCCAGTTAAATTTTATCTTGTTGGATTCCACCAATCATTCTTTCCTGGTGAGATCATTTGGATCCTGATTCTGTAATTCCAACATGTTGGCCTTCCCTCCCCGTCTTGTGCTATTTGCACAGTTGATAAGCAGTTATCTTTGGCTTCATCCAAGTTGTTGATAGAATGTTGAGGGGTTTAGGGCCAAGGACAGAACTGTTTGGCAAACTGCTAGAGAGAGCCCTGGGAGGACACCGTCCCATCTGCTGTTAAGATGCCACCTCCCATGCCCAGGAGCCACCGGCAGTGGATGGACCCCTCACCTGGGACACAAGGCCAGGAACAGATTCCAAGCCTGGACGCTAATTAGCTGTGTGGCCTTAAGCAAGTGGCGTCACCTTAGGGGCACCC